AGAAAAATAAATCAGCCCTGGCTGGTGTAGCTCAGTGGATTGAGTGCGGGACTGCGAACCAGAGGATCATGGTTCGATTCTCAGTCAGGGCACATGCCTGGGTTGCAGGCCAGTTCCAGGCACAGAACACATGAGAGGCAACCATACATTGATATTTCTTTCCCTTTCTCTTTCCCTTTCCCCTCAAAAGATAAATAAATAAAATCTTAAAAAAAATAAAGAAATCAGAAAAAATATCCTATTGATGTAGTAACAAGAAAAATAAAGTACGTAGAAATAATCCTAACAAAGGAGGTAAAAGACCTGTACTCAGAAAACTACACAATACTGGTAAAAGAAATTAAGGAACACACAAACAAAAGGAAGCATGTACTATGTTCATGGACTGGAAGAATTAACAACATCAACATGTCCATACTACAAAAAGCAATTTATAGATTAGTGCAATCCCTACTAAAATATCAATGGCATATTTCACAGATACAGAACAAACATTTCACCAATTTATATTCAACCAACAACATACACCACAGACCAAAATAAACTCAAGATGGAAAAAAGACTTAAATGAAAGTGGTGACACCATAAAATCTCAAGAGGAGAACATAGGCAGAAAAATCTCAGATAGTCCATGCAGCAATATCTTCAGCCATACATCCCCTAGAGCAAGAGACATAAAGGAAGGAATAAACAAAATGGACCTCATAAAAATAGAAAGCTTCTGCATGAGTAAAGAAAACATCAGCAAATTGAAAAGGGAACCAACCATACAGGAAAATATATTTGCAAATGATACCTCAGACAATGGTTTGATATCCAATATATGTAAAGAAATCACTAGCCCTGGCTAGCGTAGCTCAGTGGATTGAGCGCAGGCCTGCGAACCACACGATCGTGGTTCGATTCCCAGTCAGGGCACATGCCTGGGTTGCAGGCCGGTTCCCTGCAGGCCAGTTCCCAGCAGGGGATGCACAAAAAGGCAACCATACATGGATATTTCTCTTCCTCTCTCCTTCCCTTCCTCTCTAAAGATAAATAAATAAATAAATTTTTTAAAAAAAGAAATCACATGACTTCACTCCAGAAAGACAAACAATCCAATTAGAAAATGGATTGTTTTCTAATTACCTGAACAGACATTTCCCCAAGGAGCACATACAGAGAACTCTGAGAAATATGAAAGGATGCTCAGCATCACTAGCCATCAGAGAGATGCAAATTAAAACCAGGATTAAATACCACTTCACACCAGTCAGAATGACCATCATAAACAAATCAACAAACAAGTGCTGGTGAGGTTGTGGAGAATGCACTGTTGGTGGGAATGAAGACTGCTGCAGCCACTGTGGCAAACATTATGGAATTCCTTAGAAAACTAAAATGGAAAAGCCTTTTCACCTGGCAATTCCACTACTGGGATATACTTCAAGGATCCTGAAACACCAATCCAAAAGAATCTATGCACCCTGATGTTCATAGCAGCACAATTTACAATAGTCAAGTGCTGGAAGCAACCCAAGTGCCCATCAGTAAAGGAGTGGATAAAAAAATCTATGATACATTTGGCAATAGTTTACACAGCAGAAAGTAAGAAAGACCTCCTACCATTTGTGACCATATGGATGGAACTAGAGAGCATTATGCTAAGTGAAATAAACCATGCAGTGAAAGACAAATACCATATGATCTCATGTATAAGTGGAACCTAATCAACAAAACAAACAAGCAAGAAAAATATAAACAGAGACATTGCAATAAAGAACACACTGACAGTAACCAGAGGGGGAGGGCAGAGGGAGATAATGAGAGAAAATAGGAAAAGGGCCATCGAAGAGCATCTATAAAGAAATCCCCAGCCCACATGGTGCAGACAGGGCTGTGGACCCCAGAGCTCAGGCATAGAACCATCCATGTACCAATTTTAGAATATAGGAATAAAGACTCTCGGGATGCAGCCAAGATGGAGGCATAAGTAGCAACCCTTCACTTCCTTACTCAACCAAAAGGAGGACGACAACCAATCTAAAATCAATAAACAACAGAAGCACCAGAAAATCATAGTGTGTGGAACTCTGACAACCAAGGAATTAAAGAAAAAATCAGCCAGAACAACCAGACCAGTAAGAATGTGCACTGAAGCTGTGTGGGCAGGTGAGCTGAGAAAATCCACAGTCAAGTAGCAGACTGCTTGGGATGGGCCAACTCAAAAAAACTAAGAGGAGGTGGCGACCACACAGTTGAGGCTGGCTGAAAACAAAACTGAGACTCAGAGCTGACTGTGAACTGTGCTGGGGGTTGCCATGCAGGGAGAAACTCCCAGTCTCACCACAAGGGTTCTTTGGAAAGTGGAGCTAGAGCCAAGCAGGTGAGCTGCATCCTTCCCTCTCTGGCCATTCCCACACAGACAGCACCACCAACACAACAAAGAGGGTTGCCCTGCCCAGGTGAATGAATACCTAAGGCCCTGCCCCCTTGCAACTTACCAGGTGCACCAAGACAAGAAATATGGCCCAAACGAAAGAACAGAGCTTCAGGAAGAGAACTAAGTGATGGAGAGATAGCTGACCTATCTGATGGAGAATTTAAAGCCCTGGTAATCAAAATGCTCACAGAACTGATTGAGCTTTGTCAAAAAATGAAAAAACAAATGAAAGATACCCAAAATGAAATAAAGGAAAATATTCAGGGAACCAACACTGACAGGAAGGAAACCAGGACTCAAAGCAATGTTTTGGAACAAAAGAAAAAAACATAAACATCCAACAAGGACAGAATTCAAAGAAAGTGAAACAAGAATTCAAAAAAGTGAAGAGAGACTTACAAACCTCTGGGACAACTTGAAACATTCCAATATCTGAATTATAGCTGTGCCAGAAGGAGAAGAGCACCAGCAAGAAACTGAAAACTTATTTGAACAAATAATGAATGAAAACTTCCCCATTCTGGCTAAGGAAATAGATTTCCAGGAATCCAGGAAGCCCAGAAAGTCCCAAAGAAGTTGGATACAAGAAGAAACACAGTAAGACACATCATAATTAAATTACCCAAAACTAAAGATAAGGAGAGAATCTTAAAAGCAGCAAGAGAAAAGGAGGCAGTTACCTACAAAGGAGTTCCCATAAGACTATCAGCTGAATTCTCAGAAGAAATCTTACAGGCAAGAAGGGGCTGAAAAGAAATATTTGAAGTCATGAAAGGCAAGGAACTACATCCAAGATTCCTCTATCCAGCAAAACTATTCTTTAGAATGGAAGGGCAGATGAAGTGCTCCCCAGATGAGGTCAAGTTAAAGGAGCATCATCACCAAGCCCTTAATATATGAAATGTTAAAGGAACTTATGGCCCTGGCTGGTGTAGCTCAGTGGATTGAGCACAGGCCTGTGAACCAGAGGATCGCGGTTCGATTCCCAGTCAGGGCACAGGGCACATGCCTGGGTTGCAGGCTGGTTCCCTGCAGGCCAGTTCCCAGCAGGGGATGCAAGAAAGGCAACCGTACATTGATGTTTCTCTCCATTTCTCCTTCCCCTCTAAAGGTAAATAAATAAAATCTTAAATAAAATAAGTATATGCTCTTTACTTGCCCCCAAACTGCATTAAAAAAAGGAACTTATGTAAGAAAGAGAAGATTAAAAAATATGAACGATAAAATGACAACAAACTCACAGCTATCAATAAATGAACCTAAAAGAAAAGAAAAAAAAACAAGCAAACAGCTAGAACAGGAACAGAATCAGAGAAACAAACATTACACAGAGAGATTTCAGTGGGGAGGAAGGAATGGGAGGAAGGGACAGGGAAGAAGAAGCATAATTAGTGCAATAAAATAGATGGGGAGAGGTTAAAATTAGTATAGGAAACAGAGGCAGAGGACTCAAAGAACTTATGTGTACAAACCATGGACATGAACTAAGATAGAGTGAATGCTGTAGGCTTGGGGGTCCAGGGGGGAGGGGAAATAAAAGAGGAAAAATTGGGAAAACTGTAATAGGATAATCAATCAATTTAAAAATTTTTAAAAAGAACATCTATAAAGGACACAGCAACAAAGCCAAAAGATGTAGGTATGAGGGTGGGAGGTGGGGATGGGTGGGGTAGGGGGACATGGTGGGGGGAAATGGGGACAACTGTACTTGAGCAACAATAAAAAAAAGAAATCTTATATGTTACAACACTGATGAAATTTGAGGACATTTTGCTAAGTGAAATAAGCTGATCACAGTCAAACTCTCAATATGTACAGACTTTCAGCTATGCAAGATGAGAAGTTCTAGAGACCTGCTGTACAACAGTGTGATTATAGTTAAAATACTGTGATGTACACTTCATAATTTGTTAAGAGAATACATTTCATGTTATGTGTCTTTTAACTTTGTTTTTATTGTTGACACTAGTACAGATGTCCCCATCCCTCCCCCTTTGCCCATTTCCACTCAGCCCCAACCACTCCTTCCCTCTGGCCATCACCTCACTGTTGTCTATGTCTGTGTATCATGTATACATATTCTGTATATATATGAAATGTAGGCCTGAACCCTAAAAGCCACTCTCAGAGATACCTGTGAGACTGAGCATACAAATATAGGCACTTTTAATGAAAGCACACACCATTTGTTATGTGCTCCTTAAGAGTGTGATGAGTCATTCTCACCTTGTGCACTTGACAAGTACCACCTGGTGAAAGGCTCTAGAATAAATCACCCGTGTTTATGCTGCAGGGAAAACAATGTTCCCTCACTTTTTCAATAAATGACTCAAAATTCTTCTTTCTTTGTGATTTCAGCTTTGAAAATAATCAAACAATGTTCAGGAGAAAATAGGATTGAATGACCCCTTCTACCCATACTGTCTTCACAATTGTGGATGCACATGCAAGGAGTATAAATACACAACCTCCTTCACATGGGGCTGACACCACCACCCATATACAAGATTTGACTGCCCTTGAAATATTTCCAAGGACATCCATCACTAGGGAACACAACAGTCTGTTAAGGTCAGAGTTACAGTATAGAGAATCACCCACCATTGGTTTTCCTCAGCTCCTCCACAAGGCAGCAGGCTTCCTCTTGAACACGGTCCTCAATACTCCTCTTGCCCATCCCCAAATTCCGCAGGGTTATGAGGCAGAAGCGCCGCATCTCTTTCCATTCATTTCCAGTGCTGAAAATGACTCCTTTTGGGGTTTGGGGCAAGACCCCAAAGGGTGGTAACAGAAACTGTCAGGGAGGGGCTAGGCACAGAGAAGGAAGCTGACACTTGGAGCCACATGCATGGACCAAACTTTGCTGAAGAGATCTTCAAACTCCTGTTGTCCATCCTCTCCACCCCAACTATAATACTAAAAATATATTAATATACAAGCACCTACCTTTTCCTTTGTTTGCTTTTTCAAACACTGGAAAACTTCCTCTGCCAGAGAACTCCTCAGCCTGATCAATCAGGGCTTCCTTCACTGCCTCATATCCATACAGCACCACAGTGGGCCTCCTGCCAAAGTACACAGTGAACACTGGGCCGTAGACTTTTGAGAGCTGGCAAATGGAAAGGAGATGCAAATATGATCAAAAGTAGTCCCTATTTGACAATATATTGTACCTACTTCAAAATGATATTAGCATCTGTATTTATGTGTTTATTCTGTGACATAGCCCAAAGTATTTCTGAAATTAATACATAAGTATGAGGGTGATTCTGAATAGCTGCCACTTATATGCCTGCAAATGGCCTGAGTAATTTATACACATATTACAACTAATCCTCAAAACACTACCATCAGGAGGTTCATTTCCTGCTACTACAAAAATGGAAACTGGTGTTGGAGAATTTCAGTTCATTGTCAGCATCCCCTAGCTAATATGTAGAAGATCAAAATTTGGACCTCTTCCTATTTGACCACTGATATTTGAGTAATATGAGGGGACCACCATAAAACTGTAATTACTTCTGGAATGTGGGCCCTTTGTAGTACAGGCTTCCCCCACTAGGTGAGTGTTCTAAGAACCCATCTGTATCAGTGTACCAGCTGGCATTGGTATGAGAGGCTGTATTTAGCCTCAGTAAATTCTTTTGGAAGACTCTTGCAACTCGTTTGCCCATTTCCTAATGGGTAATTAATGAGTGCACCTGCCCACACCATGCTGCATGTTCAGCAGTTTTTGACCAAAACCAGCATGACCATTGCCACACCCTCCCTATCCACCTGTTCTCACCCCAGCCACTTTCCCCACCCCTCTGAATTTAAAAAGTCCTTAAAGGAAAATGTTTTCTCTGTGTGGAAGAGGTGAAACAAATGGCAAAAGCACTAAAAAGCATCAAAATAGATGAGTTAGAAAACTGCCTTGTTTTTTTTAAATGTATTTTATTGAATATGCTATTAGAGTTTTTCCAATTTTATCACCTTTGCCCCCAAAGTAGAGCTGCTTTGACTCCTGGCCTTAGTAGCATGGCCTATTATAGTAAAGCACCTATACATTGTGTGGAGTAGAGCATTACATAATTGCCAGAGTGGGCCAACCCTCTTCACCACCTTATGGCTCTGTGTGGGGAGGTCTCAGAGAGGGGGGAGGTCTCAGTGTTGCTGCCTTTCTTCAAGAGGTTGCCCAGCTCTCGCCCCTTTCCAGTCACTTCACCACTCCCCATATGCAGTTGGCACCCCTGCAGCTGTTGTGCTGGTGCTGAGTCCCAGAATGGGTGGGTTTATGTACATTCTAAGACTGTGAGTGCCCTTTAAGCAGTGTCTCCTGAAATTCTGACAGCTTATTCCACTGCCCCAACCTGCATTGGATTTTACAACCAGGAGTTATGGGAATTTCTCTTCCTGTCACTGGGCTGTGTGGTCTGGCCTGGGGCTGAGATTGCTCATTCCCAAGGTAACCCTCCTGATTTTTATCCACCACTTGTGGATGTGGGACTGTCTATTCCACCACCACTGCTGACTCTCAGTGCCACAGTGCATCTCCACACCTCTGGGTCTCTGGGTCTCCACCCCTCTTACCCATCTGAATAAATGTGGCTTCTTTAAGTCCTTAGTTGTTGGACTTCTATACAATTTGACTTTCTGAGAGTTTTGGGTGTTATATTTTTTAATATTTAGTTGTAATTCTCTCTGTGGTCGAGCAAGGAGGCAAAGCATGTCTCCCTACTCCTCCATCTTGCCCGGAAGTGTCCCAAACTGTTTTGAACAGTGGAAAAAAGTCTCAGTAGGTGTATTGCATCACATGGAGAGTACTATGAAGGTGACTGAAGTTTACACATAAGAATAAATATACATTTTTTTAAATATAGATTCCGGCTTTTTTTCAGTCCTTCATCGTATATCAATCCCTGATGATCACCATATGAGCAATACCCAGCTGACTACTTCAGGATCATTTGTGGAGCTTTTATCACCAGAATTTTGATTCAGTAGCCCTGTGATGAATATGAGAAGTCTATGCTCTCAAAAATCACTCCAGATGATTCTGACACCCAGCCCAGTTTGTGATCCACTGGCATTACCATCACAGAGGAAGGTGAGTACCACAGAGGCAGTGCCACGCCTGGCATCATTGCAAGGATGAAAAATTTCATGCTGCCTGTGGCCAAAGAATCCTGTTTCCAGGAAGCCAGCCCTGATACCTATTTTTCTTTCATTCACTTATACTGTTCCTAATCCCAGTTCCTTTCTTGACATCTGGCTTACTTTGCTTCCTCAGAGAAGTGAAGTTTTTATGGGTATTCTGAACAAAACACATTGTTTATATAGTAAATGACTTTTTAAATTAAATTTATTGGAGTGACACTGGTTAATAAAATTATATAGCTTTCAAGCATGCCATTCTATTATACATCATCTGTACATTGCATTATATACCCAGCACCCAATGTAAAATCTTCTTCTGACAACTTTTTGAACAAAATCTCTAATCAAAACACTTTCCTTACCATTCACCTCCAGCCAAAAATTATGGCAAATGATGCAGAAACCAAAACATGAAGCAGTTTTCTTGTCTTTTGCTATTTTATTTTTTCTAGCATACAGAGACCTAATGTGCCTCACTGGTAAAACACATTATTTTATTTCACTATTCTCATAGATGAGAAAGAAAAATAAAACTTTGTGGGGAGTATTTGCTTTACAATAACATATATAATAGTTGTATTTTAATGTATCATGATTTATTGAAATACATTTTAATAAATATATTTTATTTAAAAGTAGGTGTAAATTTACTTACTTTTTGCAAGCTGCTGGAGGAACATAAAATATACTCACATTGCTAAAGGATTTGCTCATGTTCTTCGCATCCAACTGTAGCATATTTCCAATAATTGGCAGAGGTGTGGGGCCCGGTGGAAGTTTTCCTTTTCCAGAGCTCTGTTTCCACAGTGAAAGGAGAAGCAAACAGGAGAGACAGAGCACCAGGGCCACAGCTGGGTCCATCATAGCTGTCTCTTCTTACTGAGCCAACTGGGAGCTTAAAGTCCACACATTTATAACACACCCTGTTACCCAGCATTGCCTGTTTGAATCATAGGGTGACTCCCCACCAAAGTCCATTTGCTTTGGTCTTTTTTTTTTTTTCACTATGGAGATTCTGGGTTAACAGATTAGGGATAGAATCAAACTGCTACTATTTATTTTCAAACACTTCATGTGGTTAGGAACCAGAGAAGTAAATGTTTTGATTTTAAACAAATACCTCAGTTTACAGATTCTCAGATTAATGACCAGTTGAGAATCTATAACTTTGAGGGCAATCCTTGCATATAAAAATGTTTGTCTGTAATGTTTGGTTTTTTTAATTCTTTTGATTTATTGTATGTTTTAAAAGTTACTTTTTGAGATGGCACATTGGCAGGTTTACTGCTTATTGACACTAGAAATATTTAAAAGAGATTGTTCTTGAAAGTTTGATTATCCAGAAAGAATGAGGAACAATGAGTCTTTCTACAGTTGGAAATAATAATTTTTCATAAAAGTTTAAGAGGAAAAATATTTAAGCAAACTATTTTTGATAAAGAAATAAAGCAGTTTCAAATTAAAATACAAATTTAAGTGAGTAACATTATGAAATATCAAGACTAGCTAAATTAAGTCCATAATTATTACTAAGAACAGAGGAACAGCAGTGGAACTTACATAATAAACAATAAATTTATCAATATCAAATAAACATTTTGAGTGCAAATTGTGCAGGAATTGACTCAATGTCAAGATCATAGCAATCATTCTGACATCAGTCTCAGTTCTGTGTATAATCTGTGTAGTATAACTATGTATTCAACTGCTCTGGTGAATGACAATTTGCAAATCATAAATTTAAATGTGCTTAGTTACAGGTCTCATTTCTCTCTTGGCAGTTTGTGTTTTCAGGAAAATCTACAACGGAGCATGGAACTGGCTGTGCATTGCTATCACCAGCTGAAGTTTCTCTTCCCTGGCTCTTCTACAGGAGCAAATTGTTTCATGAAGCTAGGGAGGAAAATCATGTATTTCAGTTTTTCCCTCCAAGAAATCTTCAGCTATGTTGTGAGATTCTTCCTGAGCTTCCTGAGCACCTACTTTTACCTTGCCTGTACAGTGCTCACACTGCAGCTCTCACAAAGTTCATGCTGTCTTTGCATCTACTTTTCAAGAGCAGATTTCTTTTGTGTAAGTAATTCATACTTATCTAAAACAGTGTGCCTTTTGGCTTCCAAACTGGGCTTCAAGAGCAGGCTATTTTTCTTGCTAGCTACTCAATACTTTTTTAGTTAGTCGTCCTTGTCAGTAATAATTTGTCTTACTTGAGGCAAAGTAAGAAACTGTCCTAGTAATATCTCCTCTTGTTCATTCATATCTATAAGTTGTGTCACACTTAGTTCTGAGAGTTCTGGAAATGCATCAGGGACAGCTGGGATCTTGCAACCAAAACCACTTTTGTTTATCTGTGCTGAAGTGTCTGTTGTGGGAACAGGGATTGGCAGATTTGAAAGGACAGCAAATAAAGGAGCAGTGGGGCTAACAGTTGTATAATTTGTCATTGATGAAGAAAGAGTGTCAGCAACAGATGAAGAACTGATAGCTCTATTGGCTTCTTGCAGGGCATATGGAGGAGTAAATGGAAAGCCCTGAGGAGCATAAGGAGGCATCACCCTGGGTTACTGTATAGGTATGGAAATGCTGCTGAGGTCGAAGGTAAAATTGGAAGATTCTTCCAAAACTCATCCAATAGACTCTGAATAATTTTTCCAAGATCTGAGTGCATTGTAAAATGTTGACTGTCAGTTTGTTTATAGTGAGTGCCAATCTGTATTCCACATCTTTCTGTATTTCAGCTATACTGGAGTGGGAGCTCCTGAGGGACCCCATCAGGGGCTCCTCTGCTGTTGGAATCTGGCAAGGACATCAGGGGAACCAGGGGCAGAGGGGAGGCTCTCCTGGTCAGGGGGAGGAGCCAGATCATCCTCCATGGGTCTCTGGACTGAGGCCTGAGGCAGTTCTGGCCAGCTTCACCCAGCTGCTCAGCCTGGCAGTTCTCTAGTGATCAAGAAGTGGGCATTCACAGCCTGGACCCAAGTGCTGTCCAGCTGCATCTTCTCTAAGCAAGCCCAACTGAGAGTCCTCAGGTTCTGGGAGGCATGACTGCTGGGGATGGAGAGAGAGGACTCACTACCCAGGACAATCAACCACTCTACCTCTCTATCCTTTAATGTTTTAGCAAATACTACTATACTTTATCCTTGAAAATGAAAACTTTTTTAAATATTTTAGTGTACCATGCTAACAGCATAGTGAGATAAACATTAACTAGAGAACATAACTCATTAATCTTGAATGCCCAAATTGTATCAACTAATTAGCTAAGTAAATTTACACGTATATTTTACATCAAACAACACAGTGAAGAGTGAATCATTAATTTTTCAAATGGAGAAAAGCATACTCAGAGAGAACAGATATCCATCCAGTGTCACACAGCTCACAAGTCACAAAACTGAGATTGGAAATTATATTTTGTAATGCCCACTGAAGGGTTCTATGGCTGCGTCAAGAACAATTTTAGGAAAATAGAACCAAACCCCAATAACACTAGTTTATCTGGATGTGTGTGCCACTGACTGTTCACTAGAGTTCATGATAAATAGAAGCCCTTATTTGACTCCCATGTTAAAAGGACTACATGATAGAAAGAGAAGAAATGAAACACAGAGATTCTTCTCCTCTCCCTCTCTCCATCACTGAGTGAAGAACCCATGTCAAAGAGGTTCTGGGGGAAGTCTTGAAAAACCACTCACCTCCTGGTCACCTCCAGGCACAACTGCTTCTGGCTATGGTTGGCCTGTCATTGCCAAAAAATAATTGAATGACAGGTGCACAGGAAGGGAGTGGAATTTTAGACAGAATCACAGGCATGGATTCTGTGGAGGATGGAAGACAGGGACTTCAGTGAACAGACCCACAGCACAAACCAGCAGAACATGCAGACCTGATCAAGGAACATTTAATGATCATGATACTCAAAATATCACTGCAATGAAATACCTTACTAGATCACTAACGGTAATGCTTGTACAAAGTCATACTCTGTAAAGACACCCACATGTTTGTCCTAACTACATTACTATGATTATGTCTAAGCTCCTTTAGTAAGGAAAATCAAGACTTGTCAAGACCCCATTTACACAATGTTTCATCCCTTATGATTTTCACATCCATCACATCTCTTTTGATATACTCAGTTACCTCTGCTAAAGGTAAAATAATGCCCACTTGAAGCATCAGGCAGCTGGCCATGAAGTTTCAGCACTGTGTCCAAGGACACAGAGTGTTGTACACTTTTTTACAAGTAAACATTCAGTTCCAGCCATTTCCCTAGCATATATTGAGTGTGTACTAAGTGTGGTACAATGGCCTGTGACCTACCTTAATCACTAACTATCAAATAAACATTAACTGAGTCAGTATTGCAGGACAGGCTGATGAAAACATGGGTTAGAAAAGTTTAGTGTTATAAAGTCTAGAAGTTGAGTGAGTTCAGGTGTTGGCAAACCTTTATTCAGGACATAGAGCAGCACTGACTTGCTGCCTCAATAACATAACTCTGGACAGTAAACAAGCCATGCTACCAAGTCTTGGATGAATTGAACTCAGTGACTCTATTTTCATATAATCATAGCAATCTTTGAGAAATTCCTTACTTTCTGAAAAAAACGTGTAGACCAGGCTCATCTTGTACTCCTACCGCCCCAGCTCTCCAGTTGGCCATTTTCCAAAGAACTGTGGTTCTTAGATTAAAATGTGGCTTAGAAGTCAAGCTCTGGGCACACTAGGTGTGCCCACTGTTGTGAGTGTCACAGCTATCAGGCTTCTCAGTGAACAGAACTAGGGAATATATGCACTCTGTGTTTGTGAGTGTGCATGTGTGTGTATATACATACATATTATCTACATATACTAGGTACCTTGAATTCATACTGATATATCCTATTCTAGCCCAACACAACAGGGTTTTTTACCCCTTCTGTATCTATACCTCTCTTAGCTGATAATGATGAACTTGTCTGCTTTTATCCTTAATACATGTACTTATTTGATCATTTCCCTTATGGACCCAATCTTTTATGTCTGCCACCATACCCTCCACTGGGTAAGGATGTTCTCCTTACCCTACTTGGTCTACAACAATCAAACAAGGCCACCACACCTGTGGATGCCCACCTTGTCCTGATGAGGCACAATACTGCACAACAGACTGCTCCAGATGTGGGCACCGCTCAGTCTCTGATTCCCCAGGTCAAATAGCCACCCTGGTGTGGCCATGTTCATTAGGATAGGAGAACTCTGGTTCCCTGAACCAGGCAGCTTCCCCCACCTGTCCTCGGAGGTGCCTGCTTCACCTCTCCTGGTTGTGAAACACCGTGCTTTTTTTAAAATTTATTTTTTTAATTTATATTTTTCAGGAACAGTATTCTGTCTTTTAATCCCATCCCAGCCCATTCCCCCCCCCCCCGTGCACCACACCTCCCTCCCATTTCCACCCCCCTGAGTTGTTCTCCATGTGTCCTTTATACTAATTCCTGTAAATCCTTCCCCTTTTCCCCCTGAAATTCCCTCCCCTCTCCCCTCTGGTCGCTGTCTTCCTGTTCTCTATTTTAGTGTCTTTGGTTATATTTTGCTTGCTTGTTTGTTTTGCTGTTTAGTCTCTTGTTAAAGGTGAGACCATATGGTATTTGTCTTTCACCTCCTGGCTTATGTCACTCAGCATAATGCTTTCTAGTTCCATCCAAGCTGTTGCAAAGGGTAGGAGCTCCTTCTTTCTTTCTGCTGCATAGAATTCCATTGTGTATATGTACCATAATTTTGATTCATTCATTTTCTGACAGGCTAAATTGTGCTGCTATGAACATTGGGGAGCATAGGTTCTTTTGGATTGGTGTTTCAGGGTTCTCAGGATACAATCCCAGCAGTGGAATTGCTGGGTGAAAAGGAAGGTCGATTTTTAGTTTTCTTAGAAAATTCCATACTCTTT